AGGCCGTCTTGGGGCCCTCGTGGAGGCCTCCTGGGCAATTTTGGGGATGGTCTTTGGGGCCTCTTTGGCCTCCTTGGAGCATCGGAAAGCCGAAAAGGCGAGAACGCCAGAATCCTTAGAACAGCGCAGGGGACATGATTTTTGCCTATGGGGGCCCTCTTGGGAGACCTCTTTGGAGGCCTCTTGGGGCGCCTTGGAAGCTTGTTGCGCCATCTTGAGGCCATCTTGGGCGTCTTCGAGTGATCGTTCGGCGACTCTGGGCCCTCTTGGACCGTCGTGGGGGCCTCCCGGGCCGTCATGGAAGCCTTAGGGAGTCCAAGGGTGGCGCCATGGTCGTTCAGGGACTCTCTTGGAGCATGGGCGATGCGACACCACGGCGTCCCGGAGCGGGGGGCCCATTAGAAGATTGCAAAAATTTTGCCAGACAGCACTCGGCATTCAAGCACGCCTCAACGTGCCAGGCGGCACGGTGGCGGACATGATGCATGCACTTATCTACGTCCTCCGAGCAAACGTTGAGGATAGTCCGAATTGCTTACCAAAGTTGATCGTGCAGTATATGTTCAAATCTGGTGTGCCAGGTTCTGTGTTCGATGATGCCGACACGCACCTGGGCCTGCGTGGGTGCGCTCGCCAGAAGCGATTGTATGCCATCACCTGATGTTGTTAGTGTGTTGTGACATGGAAGGGGCCCGTTGTGAGTTCACCAGCTAGACGGGCAGAACACCCCCTTGATTGCAGGTTTGTTGCATGATGGTCGGTTGTCGCTCGCCTAACCTTGACGAGAGAACGGCATAATTCTGACGACACGCTTTTGCAGGGCATCGGGTGATGCAGCAACCTATCCACGCCCTCTGATTGCCCATGAGGACATTCGAACTGCTTACCAAAGCTGATCATCTTCCAGGACGCAAGGGCTCCATTGCAATGCCGCGCGGCGAAAGTGTTGCAGAGCTGGCATTTTCTCTCGTGCACATCAGTGTTCGTAGTGACCTTACAGCTTTCGTTCAAGACCAGCGGGATGAATCTTCCGCCATAGTGTTGCTGTTCGTTGCGAAGCTCCATGATGCATTCGCTTATCCACGTCCTCTGAGCAAACGTGAGGATAGTCCGCGGTACTTACCAAAGCTGATCGTGCAGTGTATGTTGGAATCTGGTTTACCAGGCCCCTGCGTGGGTGTGCGCGCCATAGCGGCTGTACGCCAACACCTGATGTTGTTCGTGCGTTGTTTGTTCTGATATGGAGCCCGCGGTGTACTAACTCACCGGCTAGACGGGCAGGACACGCCCTTGATTGGACTTGTTGCATGAGAGGCGTCTGTCGTTCACCCAACTTTGACGAGAGAACGGCATGTATGCGGCGTCACGCTTTTGCAGGACATCGGGTGATGCAGCAACCTATCCACGTCCTCTGATTGTCCATGAGGACATTCGAACTGCTTACCAAAGCTGACAGTCCTCCAGGGCCCACGGGCTCCACTGCAATGCTGTGCGGCATGAGTGTTCATAGATACCTTCCAACTTTTGTTCAAGACCATTGGGATGAACCTGAAGCCATAGTGTTGCCGCTTGCTGCGAAGCTCCATGATGCATTCGCTTATCCACGTCCTCTGAGCAAACGTGAGGATAGTCCAAGCTGATCACTAAAGCTGATAGCGCAGTATATGTCGAAATCTGGCTTGCCGGGTTCTGTGTTCGATGATTCCCACACGCACGTGGGCCTGCGTGGGTGTGCGCGCCATTGCGGCTGTATGCCAGCACCTGATGTTGTTAGTACGTTAGTTTGTTGTTGCCCGCTGTGAATTCACCGGCTCGACGGGCAGGACATCCGCTTGATTGCAGGCTTGTTGCATGAGAGGCGCATGTCGTTCACCCAAACTTGACGAGAGAATGGCATGTATGCGGCGACACGCTTTCACAGCACATCGGGTGATACAGTAACCTATCCACGCCCTCTCATTGTCCATGAGGACATTCAAACTGCTTACCAAATCTGACAGTCGTTCACCCAACTTTGACGAGAGAACGGCATCTATGCGGCGTCACGCTTTTGCAGGACACCGGGTGATGCAGCAACCTATCCACGTCCTCTGATTGTCCATGAGGACATTCGAACTGCTTACCAAAGCTGACAGTCCTCCAGGGCCCACGGGCTCCATTGCAATGCCGCGCTGTGTAAGTGTTGCAGCGCAGACCTTGTCACCCTCGTGCGCATCAGTGCTCATAGTGACCCTTCAGCTGTGGTTCAGGACCAGCGGGATTTATAGGCCGCCATCGTGTTGCCGTGCGCTGCGAATCTATCCAGGTGCTTGCGGCAAGTCCCGCCACCGTGCCAGCCAGGCATGTTCGGCGTCTCTCCTTCGATGGGTCACCGGAGGAGCGCAGTGGTTGTTCGTTGGAATCTCGTGGAAGGCCTCTCGGGGGGCTGTTGGAGGCAGTTTGAGGCCTCTTGGGGTCCGTTTGGGGGCCTCTTGGGGGCCTCTTGGGGGCCTCGCGCCCGAGAGTCGAAAAGGGCGAGAACGCGAACTTCTGGCACAACCCATCAGACAATCACTGGTTTGGGCCTCTAGGGTTGCTCTTCGGGGCCTCCTTATCGCCCCCGAGGGCCGTCTTGGGAGCCTCTTGGGCCCTCTTGGGGCCATCTTGGGCCTTCTTGGAGCCATCTTGGGCCTTCGGGCAGCTGCATTGAGCAGTCTTGAGGCCCTCTTGGACCCCGGGAGGTCCTAGAGGCCGATACCGCATCCGATATATATATATATATATATATATATATATATATATATGTATATATATTGTATATATATATATAGCAGGGCGGGGGTGGGTGGGTGGGGGGGGGGGGGGGGGGGGGCAAAATCGGTGCCGTCATCCCCCATGGCCGCCCCCCCAACCTTTGGGGGGTCACAGACCCCGGGACTGCCCCGGGCCGCTTCCAAATTGCCCACAAACACCTTAGCAGGAGCTGTGATTTGGTGTCCTGGGGCCCCCCGAATGGGGGGTCCTCTTGTGGCTCTCGTGGGCCGTGTTGGGGGTCTCCTGGGCCGTCTTCAGGCCATCTTGGGTCGCCTTGGGTCTACATTTCGGGCTTCTTGGAGGCATATTGGGCCATCTCGGCGACCAGCGCCTGTCAGACGCAGGTGATTCCTCTCCACAGGAATTGGCCGCCCAGAAAAGAATGGGAACCCGGAGATACACACCCTGGGGGCTTCTCGGACGCACCCCCTTGTCGAGGATGGACGCTGGAGAGGGGGGGCGGCGCTCCACTCGGACCAGCGGTCGCAGGCGGTTTCTCGCCCACTGTCCCCGAGTTCCTTCTCCAGGAGCTGACCGCTCAAGAAAAAATGCAAGTCCCCAGGTCCCCTTTCCCAGGAGCTGACCGCTCATCAAAGAACGAGAAATTGGAGGATGCACACCATGGGGGCTATTCAGACGTACCCTCATCGAAGATGGACGGCCCCCCCATCATACATACCCGAGTTGGGCCCGTGTTTTTGTTCTGGCTGCCAACCGAACGCAGTGGGGTATTGGGGTCGCCATATCCCCCCGCCACAGAGGGGTCCCAAACATTGAGCCTCGGACACCTCCTGGAGCGCGCCCCACCAGCTTTTCGAGCTGCGTCTAGCCTTGGCCACGAGGGCCCCTCCAGGAGGCCGAAGAGAGCGAATTGTAATCCCATCCTCCTCCTTCTCCTCCTCCTCGTCCTCCTCTTCTTCCTCCTCCATATAGCTCTCCCCCGTCGCACCCCCAGAAGTGTCGGTAGGTCAGGCCGGGCCTTTCGCCTGGGATTTCCTCATTGTTTATGATGTTGAACCTTGGGAAATCTCAACAGATCAGGGATTAAGGGCGGGCCGTATTCTAAATTTGGTTGTCGTTTCAGCGCCGCGTCTTCTTATTCAAAAAGGATAGATGGCGGTTCCTTTTTTCAACATGTTTCCCTCGCCTTAGCGCCGCGCGCAGTCATCGTAAGATGGGGAGACAGCTTCAAGGATGGAAGGCGAGTCGTTTTCAAAGTGTGGCTCTTACCGTTGCGCCGCGCACATCCGTCCTAAAGTATTGCTACAGTTTCACGGTGTCGCATGTTTGAAGTCCCAGAATCTTTTCCTGGTACGATTTAGGAACGTCAGGGCGCAACAGTCACGTTGACTCGCCGTGTGGAAGTCCCACAAATCGCGTTCTGGCGCAATGTAGGACTGTCAGGATGAAGTCATCATGTTGATTCGCGGTGCTCAAGTCCCAAGAATGGTGTTTCCACGCGGTTGAGGAATATCACTTTGTTTTCTTCTAGTGGGGCATTCCCCGCGATGAAAATAGAGCCTCGCAGGCACAAAGGACGAGGGAACTTGGGCGGGAGGGTTTATTGCAACATCGTCGATGCGTCTTGGGCTTACCCTGGTCCTCCTCCTCATTCTCTTTTCCTTTTTCCCCGGCTTCCTCGCTTATGTCCCAATCGAAGCTTCATGACGTGCTTCTTTCCCATGAGGGCTCAGGCGCGAGTGTCTCTTCTCCTCTGGGGTGTCCTCTGGGGTGTCCTATTTACATCCGACCCAACCTCCCCTTGAGAGGAGGAGGAGGAGGAGGAGGAGAAGGAGGAGGAATATGACGAGGACGGGGAGGAGGAGGAGGAGGAGGAGGAGGAGGAGGAGGAGGAGGAGGAGGAGAAGGAGGACGAGGAGGAGGACGAGGACGAGGATGAGCGAGGAGGAGGAGGAGGAGGAGGAGGAGGAGGAGGAGGAGGAGGAGGAGGAGGAGGAGGAGCGAGGAGGAGGAGGAGGAGGAGGAGGAGGAGGAGGGGAGGAGGAGGAGGAGGAGGAGGATGGAGGAGCGAGGAGCAAGGAGCGGGGAGCGAGGAGAGAGCGCGGAGAAGCGAGGAGGAGCGAGGAGGAGCGTGGAGGAGCAAGAGTAGGAGGGGGAGGAGGAGGAGGAGGAGGAGGAGGAGGAGGAGGAGGAGGAGGAGGAGGAGGAGGTGGAGGACAACGACGACGACGAGGATCGCCCCACCGATGCCACACTCGACGACTGGGGGCCGCCATGCCCCCCGCCACCTCAGCTCGAGGGCCCCCCCCTCGCCGCGCTCTCGCGGGGCGACGGGGCCGCAGGACTTGGCCGCTGGCTTGGCCGCGGGCCGAGCGGCAGGGGAGTCCTCGGACGACGGGCCGCTGGTGCCGCCCGGCGCGTGGCAGGAGGGGCGGGGTGTTCCAGAGGCTGTGGGGGGCGTCCACGAAGGGGGGTCATTTCTCCTCCTTCCTCCTCCTCCTCCTTCTCCTCCTTTCTCCTCCTCCTCCTCCTCCTCCTCCCTCCTCCTGTGCAGTTTTCAGAACGGGAAGCAATGAGCGAGAGGAGAGCGGCCGCACGGCGACCTTTGTCTGCCGCCGTCCTTGCTCAAGCTGGCACCCCTCAGACCTCGGGGAGAGGACCAGCGCATGCAGGCCGCTGCTCGCGCGGCGGTGGCGGAGTTGGCCCGGGGGCTGTCCACTGGGGTGGTGTTGCGGGCATCCGCAGCCCCTTGCCCGCCCTGCAGCTGCGCACCCGCCCTGAGCTGCCCTGCCTGTCCCGACTGCCACCTCGAGTGCGGCCCGGGCAGCATCGTCAGCTCTCCCCGGCAGGTGCCGATCTTTTTCGTTCTCCTCTCTTACGTGCTGGTGGCCCTCGTGAGCGGCCTCCTCGGTTTCATCGGCGGGGCGCTTTGGTGCCCAGGGCTGTCCGCGGCCGTGCGGGGCCCGGCTCCCGCCGCGCAGCGGGATAGCGGGGTACGCGCCGTGGCCGCGGTGGCGTCAGGTGGCGAGGAGCTGCAGCTGGCGACGGAGGCGCGGGAGCAGCTCGCCCTGCTAAGACGTCGCTAGTATGGCGGTGGCGGCTGCGGCTGCTGCAGCGCCTGTGGGCGCGCCCCACCAGCTCATCGGCAGCCACGGCCTGAGCGAAGGCGACATCATCCTGCTGCTGTGCAGCGTGGCGGGACGCCGCATATGGCATGAGAGGATGGTCGTCTACCTCCCGCCAGGGGGCGTTACCGTGATGACGACGCTGACCCCGGACGACGACTCGTACGAGGAGGACGTCGCCCCTGGTGGGGATGTGCTGCGCTGGGGACGCCTTCCCAACGGCATCATCGGCGGCGCGGCAGGCTTCGTGGCAGGGGATCGCGTGTACCGCTTCCGCCACCCTCCGATGCCTGCTGCCGCGGGTGCCCTTCGTGATGCTGCTGCCCTGCGGTTTGGCTTTCCCGCCCCAGGCCTCCCGCTGGCGCCCAACACTGGTGCCGCCGGCGGCGCGGCGCCTGCTCCCGCCCCGGACGGCGGTGGAGCGGCGCCTGGCGCGCCTGGGGGCGGAGGCTTGGCTGGGCTGGTAGCGGCCCTGGGCGGCCCGGGTGCTGGCCCCGCGGCGGCGGCCGGCGCTCTGGTACCTGGTGGCGGGGCGCTGCCTGCGGCTGGAGGCGCGGCGCCTGCGGCGGGCGCTCCCGCTGGCGCGGCTGCGGCCGGCGCCTTGGTGCCGGCGGCCCCAGCACCAGCGGCGCCTCTGGCGCCCCCGGCGCCCCTTGCGGCTGCCGCCCTTGCTGGAGCCGCGCCCGCCTTGCCCGGCATCGGGGGAGCGTCAGGGCTGCCTGTAGGCTCGCCTGGCGACGCCCGCGTCCTCGGCATCACCACCGATGCTCTCGGGCAGAGGTACAAGGACTTCAGGGACGCGGTCAACGGCATGACGCAGAACACGTACCCTGATTGGCCCATCAGAGGGCCGAGGACGGCCTGGTGGGTGTGTCGCTTCATGCTGGCCAACGGGGGCTCCCCTCTGGCGCGGCATAGCCGCTGGCGCACGGACTGCCGCTTGGGCGCCTCGGACCAAGGAGTCCCTGAGCACGAGCAGGCTTGCCGCTTGCTGGAGACCTTGGCGTGCTACGACCAGGTCAACGTTCCAGACGTGGCGGCTGCGGAGCTGGCCGCCCGAAGCTTGCAGCTCATCGAGGAGAAGTGCAGGGATCGCTTGTCCGGGAACGCCCACACGGAGGCGTCCGACAGCCATCTCTACTATGGCACGGATATGGTGTGAGGAAATTGCTGCGTGTGCCCACTGCTACAGGAGTGGATAAGCGCGGAGCTGGGCAGAGAGTACGCTGTGATGAAGGAGCGCCGGAAGGCCCGGGAGGAGAGGCTGCTCGCTCGACCGAAGGGCGGGTCAAAGAAGCCTGGCGACCCCAAGGGCCCCGGCGCCGATAATGCCTGACCACGCCTTCAGCGGCCCAGGGGGCGCCGCCGATGCCGAGAAGTCCCCCCGTGAGCACTGGCGGCAGCGTCTTCCCCCTCCTGTCCTCAGACGACCCCGAGCGGTGCCGACTGGGCGGGAGGTCCGCAGCACCGTCCGTCGTCGTAGAATGGCCACTGCCTCGCTTGATTGGGCAGATGATGCGGTTCAGAGTTTGAATGATCTGTATGGATGCCCGACGGTCTTTGCTGGCCCACCTGGGGCTTTTGTCGGTCGTCCTGTCGATCCCGATCCGCCTGGTCTTTATCTTCCCTCTTCCTCTTCCTCTCCTGCTAACGCTGGCCAGGCCCAGGCTCTAGAGCACATCACCAGTCGGTGCGTCCAGGTCGGGCCCCCGCCAGGTGACTTTTCTTCTGGCAAGGAAGCCCTCAGCGAGCTTCTTGCCGGGTCCTCGGTTTACTCCTCCGACCAGGGCCCCCGCCGCCCGTTTGTCAAGGACCTCGTGTCCTGGCCTGAGCTCGGAGCGAAGCCGATTCCTCTGGCTGAAGCTCTGAGCCCAGCCGATCGCTTGTGGCTCGGCGGCTGGCGCGAAAATTTGCTGATAACTGAGCAGGAGGCCGCCATCTTACAGCGGGAGGCTTGCCCGCACGGTGTTTTTGTCGATAGTGCGCCGAAGCAGCAGCCTTCCACCTATGCAGAGTTTCTCTTGCGTCTTTTTCAGCGTGGAATGCTTGCGTGGGAGGTGGCAGCCGGGCGCAAGGGGAAACTGGGATGTTTTTTTTCGTAGCCAAGAAGAACGGTCGATTGCGGATCATTTTTGATACAAGGTTTGTCAACACGTACTTCAGAACACCACCGAGCACCCGGCTGCCGACCTCGAGTGCGTTCTCATCGTTGGAGACTTCGGAGAGGCCTGTGTACATCGCCTCCGGGGATCTTGATTGTGCTTCCTACCGCTTGGGGTTGCCGCCGGACTTGGGTCAGTATTCCTCCCTCCCGGTCATAGATTCCACGTTGGTGAAGGTCTTCTACCTCAACGGACTCGCTGTCCCACCTGGCGCCCCCTTGCTTCCTTGCCTGGCGGTGCTGCCTATGGGGTGGTCCTGGGCTATGCATCTTTGCCTAGGTGTCTTAAGGAACAGCATCTCGGAGGCGGGCCTGTCTGGGGATTTCCTTATAGAGGACGGCCGCGCTGGAGTTCTTCTCGCTGATGCGCAGCAGATTGGCAGCGCAGCGTGCGTTGACAATTTCCTCACAGTCGGCCACGATCGTGATAAGACTACTAAGTCCATGCATACAATCACCTCCGTTCTTAGGGGCAAGGGTTTGGTGGTTCACGAGTTGGAGGAGGGTTCTGCTGATTGTGCGTTCTTGGGCATGGAGCTCTCGGGCGGTACTCGGTTGAGCATCGAGAGGCGTAATATTTGGAGGCTTCGTCTTGGGATTGAGGAGCTTATCAGCAGACGGTGTTGTAGTGGTGCCATGTTGCAGGTCCTGGTGGGCCACGTTACCTGGGCATGTTTGTTGAAGAGAGAGGCCCTGGTGGCCCTGGATGCCTGTTACGCCTTCGTCATTGCTAACCCTACCAAGGTTGTTGAGACGTGGCCGTCAGTGTTGCGCGAGCTCTGGCAAGTCAGGAGCCTGCTGCCGCTTTTGTGCTGTAATATTTCCGCGAAGTGGCACCCTGCGGTTGCCTGCTCGGACGCCTGCACGCACGGAGTCGCGGTCTGCACTCGGAAGTTGGAGCTTGACACCGTTGGGAAAATCGGTCGACACAGTGAGCGTTGGAGATGCAACGTCGAGGGTGGCGCGCAGGCTCGGGACCGTGCGCTCGGTGCTGACTGCTCGGGTACTCCGTCGTCTTCTTCTACTATGTCGTCGTCCTGTTTATCAGCTGGCGTTGGGGACCCTCTAGCAGGTCTTAGGGAATCTGAGAGCGGACTAACGGTATCCAACACGGTCTTCGATGAGGTCCCTAGGGCTATCTTGGACAAGGGGGCTTGGAACGTTGTGCTCGCGTCGAAGGTCGTCGTCTCGGCAAACATTCTGGAGCTAGAGGGGGACGGGCTAGTCTTGGCTTACAAGCACCTTCTGCGATCTTCAGAGGCCTGCGGTTCTCGGGCATTGGCCCTCGTGGATAACGTGCCGCTGGCCCTTGGGGCCACCAAAGGTAGGGCCAATTCTGAACACCCCCATCGGGCTCTTCGGAAGGTTGCCGCCCTTTCTCTGGCTACAGGGACCGAACTACACGTTCGGTGGTTGCCCAGCGAGTTCAACCCCGCGGACGAGCCCTCCAGGGGAAAGAGTGGTTGGTTTGTAGGGCCCTACCGCAGCCACCCCGCGGCCCGAACGCGGGAGGCTTCCCAGTTCTTCGCAGGCGAGGCCACGCCTCGCCTTGGTGGGCTGGCCCCCGCGGCCGCGCCGGCAGCAGCCTCGCCGGCCCTGCTGGTGCCCTCCCGCGATGCCCCGGGCGGTGGCGCGGCGGCCGGCTGCGCGGCCGGCCGCCCTGCAGGCCCGAGCCGCGGCGGCGAGCATCATGCGCTCGACGCGGCCGCCCCTTGGGCGGCCCACGCTCCTCGAGCACGTGGCGGTGCCCCCAGATACGGAGACGGCCTACCGAGCGCTCCTCCAGGGCTTTGTGGACTTCTGCCATCACACGAGCCTCGATTGGAGCGACCTGGCGGGGCTGGACCAAGCGGTCTCGGCCTACATGGACAGGCTCTACTTGGACGGCCACCTACCCGACAAGGGCAGCAAGCTGCTGGCGGCCCTGGCCCACTTCGTGCCGGAGCTCCACAAGTCGCTGAAGGCGCGGTTGCCAAGGTCATCCAGGGCCTGTGCGTCGTGGAAGAAGAGGGTTCTGGGCTCGACCTCATCGTGGACAGGCGTCCTAGTCGCCTGAGGTCGGGCAACGAATCCTGTAACATGATGTCGATGTGTTTTGATTTTGAGATTGAGTTCAATGTTGATTTGAGTCCAGCGTTGA